TTTGTAGTTGTCTCTTCTACTTTTCTCCAACAAGTTTCTGTTTTCGTTAGCCATAAGTTTGGTACGAGTGATCGTTGAGGAGAGTTGATTGTATATTTATAAGTTGCTTTTCTATATCATTTACTATAGTTTAGCTATTTTGTTATTAATCAAGAGATCGTTAGAAAGAGTTGATAACTGTTGTTAATGTTAATAAAACTATTAATATACCAATAGTGCACTATCAATGTATTAATAATATCATTAAAAATTAATTTCATCTATAACTATTAGTATACTAGTTTTATTAGTTTTATCTAGTGTATTATTGAAGATTTGTTTTATTTGTAACTTTAATACCAACTTTGTTATATAGAAAACCTAACTAGATAGCAAGTTTCTGATTTAAAATATAAGCTATAATAAAGTTACTTAAAGCTCTAAAGAACTTTGATATAATTCAAACATTATTAAAAAAATTTTTACATAGAAATTCATTAAACATTACATTTTTATATAGTGTTATAGTATCATAACCTTCTTAACAGCAGTACTATAACAATGTCATGGCTACAGAGATTCTTCACAGATTTATAGTGGTGTTCAAGAGGTAAGTAAATTTATATTTCAATTAGAAACTATCCCTTTTCTCTAATTGATCTGTTAAACTGGTGATTCCGATCTAAAAATGTTCGTAGTTGCACGCAGTTAGTGCCATAAAAATATTGCGATCATGTGATCTCCAACAAATCTTCACGGTCATGTGGTGGTCAGCCAATAATAAATTATGGGTTGGTATAACGTAACACGATCAGAAAAATTCAAAAACAAAACGTTCGTTTTAAAAAAAATTTTCCTATTGGCGATACTGGGGAAGATCCGTTTCCGACCATTAATGTAACGTTGGTATAAATGATCATTATATTAATATATATAATGTAATTTTATCGCTATTTGATCAGTATTAAATTCGAACTATCAGATGAGTCGAAAACGGTCACCGCGAAATTTTTATGGCACCACTAACCTACCTGTTTTTTTTTCAGACTCTGTAACCGGTTGAAAGTTCAGCTCGGTTAACCGATTGTTGATTTTTTTTCTCGGTTCAAATCACTAATTTTATCTAGCTCATGACAGTTTTAATGATTAAAAAAATTATAAAATTCCTTATGATTGATGAGACAGAAAAGTTTTCCGATCGCAATATGATCGTTATACGGAGTAAGACCGGAATGTGTGACAGGTTATGCTAAATGATCATCACGCTAATATTAAATCGATTTTAATCGTTAGGATCAGATTGGAAGGAATTAGAAAGGGATTTATCCAAAACTTAAACCAGAATTATGAGTAGAATTTTTTTCTTAGAGCACCAAGAGCAGGTTCATAGGCAAATTTCGAGATAGAAAAAATTTTTTCTTAATTTTGTCACACATTCCGGACTTGCTTATACGGAATAGTTTATCACGTGCAAGAAACGACAAAGGTAGTCATGAGTGACATTTTAATTGTGAAACTAACTTATCGTTATGTAAATTAGATTTCGCGTTTTTAAAGTTTACTCAGCGACATATGATACGTAATTAAATTTATTTACGTTATATCGATATGGAGTAATAGACTAGGAAAATTCTTATTCGAAAGTAAATACCGAACGGTGATTTTCTAGACTATGACTCATATTTCTTTGATCAGTGCTGAACCTGGTTAATAGCATAATCAACTTGAAAGCCGAAGTAGGTTTTCCCTTGATGTAACTCATAGTATCTAAATAAATCAATTAATTTTTTTGGAATACTGTGAGATTCCCCTAAACCCACCCTGACACATATTACACGTTAACGTTAAATTGATAAGGTACTGTACGAACGTACGTGCTTACTAAAATGTTCCAAATACACGATGCTAGCAACGACCAAGCATCATTACACGTTCATTGTGATGACAGTTCTTATTAATATGGAAATATAGCCAAATTCTTTTTGGACCAATTAATAATGCACGTACATCCGTACAAGGACGCCTTTCCTTGTCATTCGCAATTCTTAAAGTATGATACAAATGCATTGATGTTAACAAAAACACGGATAAAGTTTGCTAGGGTCACATTTGTGAAGTCATACACTTTCATTAAGACAGGTAAATGCATGTATTCCAAACTTTAATAAAACTTTTTAAGTAATAAATGAATTTAACATCCAAGTTTTACTTTTTTGATACGTACAATAAATTTTGTTTATATTTTATTAATGATAAGCCTTTATTAAGTTGCTATGCAAACTCGGCTGTCATGCATGAAACAAAACAACTCTAATAGCGATAGGATGTGGAGACTATTAAAAAAAAAAAAAAACATAAATCATTTAGACCGCATTTGTACTAACCCTTACTTTTCTTCGTGATCACTTGTCAAGTATTGTTTAATCCATTGAGCTGCAAGATCTGCTACTTTTTCAAGGCAACCTATTCAAATGTTTCCCGAAATAAAATAATTATTAATGTTAATAATGCACTTATGCATTCATACATGATCCTTTCATTTTCCGCTCTGATTTACTCAGTTCGATAAACTTTACCTGGTTCTTCAAACAAGTGAGATGCTCCTTGAACAATCTCCAATTGCTTTATTGGACTGCCTAAATTCTTTAATGCTTTCTCATTAAAGCTCAGTACCGCAGGGTCATTTCCACCAACTATAAGTAAAGTTGGTGTGGGTATTTCTTTAAGAATTTCGGAACTGACCAAATCGGGTCTGCCGCCACGGGAAATGACCACTTTGATGTCATTTGGACGTTTGTGGGCAACTAACAGCGCGGCTGATTTTTTTTTTTTTTTTTTTTTTGCGAAATCCATATATAAAAAAAAAAATCACAATCAAACGGTACATGATAAGGGGTAGGACAGTATTAATTACCAAGACGGGAATTTTATTTTATAAATAATTATGCAAACATTTTTCATTTTCATACCTCCTCCGCCAGTTGACGCCTAAATTATTAAATAATTCCCAATTTAATAAAATTGAGTTTTAAGTTAAAATACGAATTCAATAGTATAATTATATGTTAGTATTTCAAAACGTGATTAAAGAAAATCCTTACCCCAAACAATCCAATCGGCAAATCTTTGAGAGTTAAGTCCTTTTTAAATTGGTCAACTACCGATACCACCCTCTTGGCCAATAAGTCTATGTTTTTTACGACAATTTTAGAAAACATTATATCATTGTATGTGTTACCGAAAAGAAAGAAGTAACAGCCATAATAAACAATAAAAAAAACAAAAATATTAATATGTATTTTTTAGGGGGGAGTGAAGAGGAAAACTATACTGAAAGAGAACGCTGCATAATAATCTTTCGAAGAAACAAATCACAATATAGAAAATTATAGGATAGAACTTAAATAAATATATAACTAACCTATATCGAAACGCAAATGTCTTGTCATTTCATCAATCTGTTCTTCTTGGGGTGTAAGCAAGTCCAGTAAAAACGTGGCAATACCATGGGATCGAAGCACTTTCGCAACATATCTAAAGATTAGCATTTACATGAATCGGAAACAATAAGCTATCATGTGAAAAATGCGAATTTGCTGCAGAATGAGTTGAATTTCATCAGGTCAAATAAAAAGGCAGCGAATTTGGCGTTTTCTTCGTTTGAAACGGAAGGTGATACTTACTGATTTCTGATAGTCGTTCCATATTATAAATTAATATGAATATTTTAAAATACGTGAAAAATGTTGTTAGAAAAAGGTTTAAAAAATGTATGCCGAATATCATTTTTCTTTTTCACTTGAGAATTTTACAAGTACAATACGAATTTTTAAATTATTATTATTTTAATTTTACTGTTCTGTTCTCAACAAAATTTTCATAAACTTGAAATTTTCAGCACAAAGTACTTCTCATATATAATAACGTTGGGGTAAATTAGCTAGTCATTTTATCATTTGCCCGTCACACAGCATTTTACATCACTAAATATTATAACCGTTGCGTGAAAAAAAAGAAAAAATTTTAATAATGCAAAGATCTATAACATCCAACATAAAAATTTTTTATCATTATCCTCTTATAAAATCAAAAAAAGAAAACAATAGGAACCTTACAAATCATGAACCCGAGTATGCATCCGGATTTTTTTTTAACGTGGCTTCATTTAACAAAACCATGTCCCACCAAATCTTCTATATCTTTTTGAATCCTCATACCTTGGACTTAATCTACTAGATCCAGATCCATGAACAAATATACAGATTCCAACATCTTGATTGGTACGATAAAGTTCTCCAGGCAATATAATGTTATCATGGTTTATTTGTACAAAGGTTTTTAAATGTCCAACATTACTTTCAGAATCATCCATATTTCCCAAATAAAAAAAAAGGAAAATCAAAAATAAATTTAAGTGAATAATCGCATTTTATATTTTTTAAAAAATTTGTGATCTCATAATTCTATAATAATACGAATAAGTTATAGTTACATTAAAGGTGGTAATCAAATTTATATGTGGATTAAGGTTTGTGGCGCAGTTTTACAATTAACAAAAAATTTTAAAGTTCATTGTAGTTAGGGTTAGCGTTTAGACCAAGGTTAGAGGTTAGATAATTATATAGTAAAATCGCTCAAGAAATCCTTTTTGTTAGGGCACTAAGGATGGTTTTTTTATGCAGATTTTTGAGAAATAACCGATTTTTGACAAAATGGTATCTGCGCCATAATGATCGACAAAACCTGGCACGGAATTTATGCTTTTTTTTTACTGCGTCCTAAATTTTCTAGAATATTTTGCCTCGGTTCCACAACTATACAAAAATGCTGATCAAAATTTTAGCTGGTCCCATCCTCAAAAATGTCAATGGATTAAAGTATGGGATTAAAGTAGAGGATTAGAGTGGGGAAATTAAAGTAGAGGGATTAAAAGTGATTAAAGTGGGTAATTAAAATGGGGATTAAAGTGGGGGATTTGAGTGGAGGATTTGAGTGGGTTGGCATAAGGGCGGATTTACACACAGCCTCCAAAATTTTGGTGTATTGACCAACTAGTTGGGGTGAACATTCAATAGACTTTAATAAACTCATTACATACGTACGTACGTATGTACACCTTGAATGTGTGCCAGGTTTGTGGCGCAGATGTCCTGAACTACGAATCAGATTCAAGATCAGGTGTAACGTAACACGATCAAGAAGATTCAAAACAAAGCATTTCTGAAATCTGTGCCAGGTATGCATGTTGTCAATCATCATGTAAAATTTTTAAAAATTTTAAAGTTCATTAATATTAGGGTTAGAGCGTTTCGTATAAAGTTAAAACTAAGTGGATGTATAGTAAAATCGCACAATAAAAACTTTTTGTTAGAGCACTAAAGGTGGTTTATTATGCAGATTTTTTCGAAAGAAGGATTTTGACAAAACGAACATTTGTTTTGATCATACCATGTTACACCTGATCCTCGAAATCTGATTTGTAGATCATGAATAACCTGGCACAGATTTCAGAAGTATCAAAACAAACGTTCATTTTGTCAAAAATCGCCTATTTCTTGAAAATCTGTATAGGAAATCACCTTTAGTGCTTTAATAAAAAGTTTTTGCTAGACAATTTTACTATTTAAACACCTTTTCCTAACTCTAACCCGAACTCTAACCCTAACATAAACAAACTTCGAAGAATTTTTTGTTGTATTACAAACCTGACACATATTTAAGAAAAGCTGTATGTATCGTATTTTAAGCCACATGATTTGGATCGGCTGGCTAAGCCAGCCAATTAAAATATCGGCTAATGGCTGGCCAATAGAAAGTAACTACCCCAAGAGCACCACCAAAAATTTTCGGTTACACAACATTTGTACTACATTCCAGCCAATAGTATTTTACGTATTTAATCATGTTATTCGTACTACATTCTGGCCAATA